ATAAGGGCTGACTGGACTCTCCAGCCAGTCACATCAGCATCAGATATTAATAAAAAAGCACCACGTCAGATTTTCCGGCGAGCCATGTCAGCATTGGCACTAAAGTGATCGTTTTTCAAAAAAGTTGATACCAAAGTGATCCGAAAAAAAGTTATGGCACCAAAGTGTCCTCCGTACACAACTTATGGCACTTATAGTGTCCTTTTGCCGTTATTTAAGTGCATGTGGTTTGACCCCATCAAAGAAATGAAGGTGCGTACGAAGTTTAATTTGGTTGAAATAAATCACAAGAAAAGGTATATGAAATATGAACCATTTGTGTTGGCACAATAAGCAATTCAAGTATATTATGCATCATATCCTAGTTTGAAACGTGACAAAACTGATTGGTGGGCTGTATGTAAAATCAAAGCACGAAGAAAAATCGAGGAACACTGGAAGGATTCAACATATCAACAAGAGGAAGTTTGTAACACGATTGAAACTGAGGAATATAACATTCCAACTTTACGAGATCCATGTGGAGCAATGATAGATGTAGATCTAACTGAAATTCGCGAATCAAATTTAGAAGGTGTTGTAGAATCTGATTTTGAGACAGAGGATGATGATGATGATGATGATGATGATGCTCATGAAGAAGATCAAGATCAAGACGAAGACGAAGACGAAGACGAAGGTGAAGATGAAGATTATGATTTTTGAGACTTTTTACTAATTATAACGTAATTATTATTGTTATTATTATTATTGTGACATGAGTTTATTGTTGTTGTTGTTGTTATTATTTTTATTTTTATTATTGTTATTATTATCGTTATTATTATCGTTATTATTAATATCGTTATTATTATTGTTGTTGTTGCTTATTATTATTGCTATTATTGTTATTATTGTTAATGAAAAGTTATTGTCGAGAAATTCGTCGCCAAATGGCGACAAGTCAAATACTATTCGTGCGATGACATTTGCGATATTTTATTTTCCATTGAATTTGGATCGTCACTAATTGACAAAATTAGCGATGACATTTGCGATATTTTTATTTGTTGAATGGTTAAAAGGCCGTCGCTAATTTTGTCGGGAAATTTTTATTTGATGAATTGTTAATATGAAAGATCGTCCCCGTCGCTATTCCGTCGCAAATTAGTGACGGATTTGAATTCGTCCCTAATTTGCAACGGAATTAGCGACGAAAATAAAGTCTCGCGGCACTTGCAATGCCCGACGGATTTTGCCACGGAAATGAGTTCTCCTTGCTCACCCGAATAATTTCATTTATTTTCGTGGCTAAATCCGTGGCTAATTTTTTTTTCCATGGCAAATTAGCCACGGAAAAAAAATTAGTCGGGTGCGTAGGGAGACTTCATTTCCGTGGCTAAATCCATGGATAATTAGCCACGGAAAAAAAATTGTGCGGAGTGATTTTTTTTCGTGGCAACATCCGTGGCAATAAATTTGTTTTCCGTGGCAAAAAATTAGTCGGGTGTGTGGGGAGACTTCATTTCCATGGCAAAATCCGTGGCAAATTTGCCACAGAAAAAAGATTGTGCGAGGTGAATTTCTTTCCGTGGAAAATTTGCCACGGAAAAAAATTAGTAGGGTGTGCGGGGAGATTTCAGTTCCGTGGCAAAATCCGTGGCAAATTTGCCACGGACAAAAAATTGTTTGGGGTGAATTTTTGTCCGTGGCAGATTTTGCCACAGACAAAAATTGTTCGGGGTGAATTTTTTTCCGTGACAAAATCCGTGGCAAATTTGCCACGGATTTTGCCACGGACAAAAATTGTTCAGGGTGAATTTTTTGCCACGGATTTTGCCACGGAAAAAAAAAATGTGCGGGGTGAATTTGTTCCCATGGCAAAATCTGTGGCAAATTTGCCACGGAAAAAAAATTAGTTGGGTGTGCTTGGAGATTTCAGTTCCGTGGCAAAATCCGTGGCAACGGACAAAAAATTGTTCGGGTGTGCGGGTAGATTTCAGTTCTGTGGCAAATTTGTCACTGATTTTGTCACAGAAAAAAATTAGTCAGGTGTGCGGGGAGATTTCAGTTCTGTGGCAAATTTGCCACGGACAAAAAATTGTGTGGGGTGAGTTTTTGTCCTTGGCAAAATCGGTGGCAAATTTGCCACCGATTTTGCCACGGACAAAAAATCGTGTAGGTAGATTTGTTTTCCGTGGCTAAATCCGTAGCAAATTTGCAACGGATTTTGCCACGGACAAAAAATAAGGGTTTACTGCGACAATTTCATAGTTCGATTCTAATTTGCCGCGATAAATTTAAAATTCGTGGGTAATATCGTCGCAAATTAGCCACGAATTTTATTCCGTGGCTAATTTCGGCTGAAATTAGAAAAACGGCGTCGTCTTCGTTTGCGGGTTTTCTCTGTCTCTCTTCTCCGTATCTCTCGCTTCTCTGTCTCTCTTCTCTTTTCTCTTCTCTCTCTCTCTCTCTCTCTCTGGCAAAAAATTTAGGGTTTTCTCTTCTCTTCTCTGTCTCTCTCTCGATCGATCAATTGGCGACGGATTCTGACGAGTCGACAACCTTCGGTGGACAACAGAGGGGAACCCTTCGGCGGACAACATAGGGGAACCCTTCGGCGGAACGGCTAAACCCTTCGGCGAAACGGCGGAACCCTTCGGCGGACAACAGAGGACCCGGCGCAAGCATGAGGACCCAGCGCAACCGCTTGACCCACCGCGAGGACCCAACCACGAGGTACATTCTCTAAATTTTTTGCACTTTGGGTCTTGCGCGAGCGCCGTTTTTAGATGTTCGGTTTAGGGCAGAGATTGTTCGGTCTCGAGCGAGCACTTTGGGTCTCGGGCTGCTGCTTCTGTTCTGTTTTTAGATGTTCGGTCTAGGGCGGAGATTGTTCGCTCAACCCACTGCTTCTGTTTTAGCTGCTGCTGCTTCTGCTTCTTTCAATTTGTGGCGAATTTGATTCGACTTTGAATGTATTGTTATGTTGGTGGTGGAATTTCCGGCGAATTTGTTCTGTTCGCCAAATGGAAATGGGCTGAAATTTGGTTGAATTTGGGTTGAAATTTGGTCGGAATGGGCTGAAATTTGGTCGGCAAAGTGGAAACGGCCCGCTGATCAAATAACACAGCCTTTGGCTGTGATGCATGTCGTTTTTTGGCGTTTCGGAGTCGTTTAGATGAGTTTTTGACCAAAAAACTATTTTGTTTGAACCGTAATTTCTGTTCGGATTTAGTTTTTTTTGGCGTTTCGGAGTCGTTTGATTGTTTTTTGGCATTTCGAAGTCATTTAGATGAGTTTTTTAGCAAAAAACTATTCTGTTTGAACAGTAATTTCGATTCGATTTGAGTTTTTTTTGGCGTTTCGTAGTCGTTTGATCAGCAGACTTGGCCGTTTTTTTTTTGGCGTTTTGTCATGAAAATTTCATATATGTTTACTCCACCACTAATATTTCGTCAGGCCGATCTCGAATATGTTTTTCAACTTGCCATGTTGAAATATTGCAATAAATTTATTCATCCATTGTTCGCTAAATAAAATGCCTGTGAGGAAATATTGACTGCATCCAAATGGATATCCACTCATGATACCTGAAATTTCCAATTATGTCCACTCATGATACCTGAAACCATTATTCTCTAAAACCTCTGGCAAATATCCCTCAAGATGAAATGTGGTAAGATAATGCATACACTATTTGAAGAAAGGGAATGACATTGCTGGCCATGTAAACATCTCTATGTTAGAAAAGAGAATGTGCTACTGCTTTTGCTTTGAAATTGAAACCAGTGGAAAAGTATATAGTTCTTCATCCTACTTTCTTGGGCTTAAATAATTAGGCAGCCAGAACAATGATCTACTGATATAGACCTATTGAAATTGCATCAGGATATGTTACAAGGTGCCATCCCTTCATTGCTATATAAAGTGAAAATTTAATTCATTGCTAAATTGAATTATTTGAAATAATAATGCACGTAATCCCTCAAGTTCGAGCAATGAAGTATATTGACTGCAATATATTTCAACATGGAAATATTTCAACATCGGTCCTGGAGCAATTTCAACTTGTATGTTTTCATCTTCTTGTTTGGAATAGCGATATGCCATTAGTTAGCTGATAGCAGTTGTTAATAACTTTTATTTGGCTGACAGTGGGAAAGCTAGCATGTAGTGGTGCGAAGATGGTGATCATAAGTAATTCCTCTAGGCGTGCATTGACAACCATGAAAGTGTGGACTATTCGTTGACTCCGTTTCTCCATGAAATATGAATATGATCCAGGGCCAGGGCACATGAAAGTGTGGACTATTAGTTGACTCTGTTTCTCAACATCATGTTGCTTCACTCATGTTTTCTTCTTAGATAATAATCACCAGAAAAGAGCTAATATTTAAGTGCTTATTGAATGTTTTTGTAGACAGAGGTAACAACTGTTATTTGTGGCAAAAAAAAGCTAACAAAGCTCGTAGACATTTTCGGACGACTTGCTTTTTATCAGAGGCGACAGCAAGTTTGTTTCATTTTCTCAAGTTTATCTGTTGCTCTCGAAAACAAAATGGTAAGCTTCACGACGTACGTCATTATGTGTCCCTAATACATGTTCATATTTTTTTAAGATATTTGTCTAACCTTACAACTTGTTAGTATAAACGTGGATGTCACATGCGTGGTGTAGCTTCACAAAGAAGACCAAACCCTTCCCCTTCCTCGTCCCCGTCCCTTTCCTCTTCCCCTGCCCTTTCATCTAACCATCAACCAGTTCATGCTGATGGACACATTAGCCCTTCCTCCGACCCTCAAATGCGAACTGAATCTACTTCAGTTTCATCTCCTTTAGTTCCATCGCCTTCGGTTCCACTCTTCTTCAGTGCAACACTCGAATGATGAAGAAGATAGCCGATTCATGATATGTCCATGTGAAGATTCGTAAGTACTTCATTTTTTTTAAGGATATATAAATTATTATGGATGTTAACTGAATTGTCCGTATGCTTCATTGTCCATATCGTTATAAATTGCAGATTCACGGATGCTACGTATGTTGTGAGAAAACTTAATAAAATAATCAATAACTGTTGGATGGGGCAGTATACTAGTTGGACCATCGCTCTAAAAGAAGTAAAGGACTTGTGGTGGAATGAGTTCAAGGTAAGTTTTGTCCTTCTATTTTCTCACAAACTAAATTCGGTGTAGCATACTAATGGTGCATGGTAATGTATACGTGACCCTCATAATAAGTGTACAATTATTTTTCTATTGATTGCAGCGGAAGTTCAGGTGGGATGAAGCGAAAGAGAAAGAAGTTAAAATAATTTTTAAGAAAAAAGCCGGTGATCACATGCGAAATGTGATGAATAGAGCAGAGACAAGTCAAGAAAAGCCGGATTTTATTACAGCTGACAATTAGATGGAAATTAAGAGAACTTGGGACACCGAAAAGCATAAGCAAATTAGTGAATAAAATAAAAAGAATCGAGCTTCTAGTTCTAGTGAAGGGTCTGCCACATATGCTGGGGGTTCTATCAACATCAGGGAGCATAGAAAAAGAATGGTAAGTATGTTAAATATGTTGTAAGTTAATTTAATTCAATGATTACTCATTTATGTTTATATTTTGCAGGCAGATGAATTGGGAACGGAACCGACATTTATAGCTACATTTGAACGCACATTTCAGAAAAAAGATAAGACATGGACTGGCGATCGAGCAAAAGCTATTAAAGTATGTAAGGTTATATTTTGGTCTTTTTGAAAACTAGAATAAAAATCATGAATGCTTTTAATATCTATGGTAGTTATATATATGAAGTTATGTTACTTTATTTTCATCTATATTGTTAATGTAGGAAAAATATGATGAACTTGTAATAAGCACTGCTGCTAGTGGTGGTGATGGTGTTGCTGCGTCCGAGCCATCGGTTGACAGTATGGCATTATGGGTGAAGGCATCGGGTGGAATGAGAAGAGGTCAAATATTTGGGATGGGATCCTTGTCAAGGATATACACAACGCAGGCTGCTGCAACTTCATCCTCCAATGCGGCTTTTTTAAGGAGGACACAACACGAGGATCAAATGACCCAAGAATTGAGCCAACTAAAACATTTACTTGTGCAGAAGGACGAAGAAATAAGAGGAATGAAACAACATTTGCAATTGATCTTGTGACACCTCAACTTCGATCATGATGACGTTCCTCCTGTACCTCCCACTAATCCAGTAGGTGATGGGTACAATGATGAGCGACACAATGATAATGAGATTGCTGATGATGATGTTCATTTTGTCGGTCCTTGCTAGTTAAATTTCCAAACTCGAGGGTAAGCTTGCTTCAGCAATATCTATTTATAGGACAAGTTATTAGTTGTTGCATTTGTTCAATGCACATGTATCGATTCTGTTAAAAGTTCAACAACTGTTCATGTTGAGTTTTTGCACATGTACACGAGAGACAATGGACTAATCAAGCTGATGCTCAGCTATCTCTCTCCCTTGTTCACGCACGCACATGCATTCTAGGAACAGAGTTGCTGGGATCTAAATTACTTGGCACTGATTCTTTGAAGAATCTTTGGAATGATCATGATGCCATATTGTGTTGTTATCTGTTATTTGTATTACTCGAAATTGTTAAAAGTGAATTTTGCCATGTATGTATGTAATTAGGAATGATTAATGACGGTCTTCCTTTAGGTTTGGCAGTCTATTCCAGTTTTTGTCTTTGCAAATCAGGCAGGACTTGACATATTAGAGACCTTTTTGGTGGCTTTACAAGATATCACTTTGGATTAGATATTTGACGAGTCAGTTTGCAAAGAATTGTGCCCTGGGTTCACTAAGTTAATGCAAGAGGTACTTCTATCATTCTTTATGCTACATGACAATAAGCGTTCGGTTTGCATATATGCCCTCTAGAATTGGTCTTTTGTGTGAGCATAGCCTAATATATTCTTTTTTGAACACTCCTCTTTCTGCTGTTGAATAGATGTGAAAAAATTAAGAGGGGTTAGAAGTTCGATATTGTGATGTCTTCTGTTTGCTCTGCAGATGGACAAGACTTTGATTCTTGGAGACACTATAGACTACGTGAAAGAACTTCTTGGCAAGATCAACAGTTTGCAACAAGAGAGCGAACTGGATTTGAAGCAGTTGAATTTGTTGGATCCTCTCAAGGATTTTTCATACAAATTTAGTGCTTTGTTCCATTTCTTTCTTTTTTGTGTTTGTTCTTGTCTTGACTGTGATTCTATTAATGTTAAATATAAATTCTATAATTATTGTTAATTAGATTTCAAATCCAAATCGTCCCTGAACAACATTCATCGCGCCAAATTATTCATTAAAATTCGTCGCCAAATTCGTTTGTCTTGACTATGATTCTATCAATGTTAAATATAAATTCTATAATTATTGTTAATTAGATTTCAAATCCAAATCGTCCCTGAACAACATTCATCGCGCCAAATTATTCATTAAAATTCGTCGCCAAATTCGTTTCGGAACGATGTTTGTGGCAAAAGTCAAAATTTTTCGTGGCAAATTAGTGACGAATTTTGCCACGAATAAGTTCGTTGTAAAATACTGACCAAAAAAAAAATTTGGTGGCAAATTTGCCACGAAATGTGTTCGTGACAAATTAGCGACGAATTTTGCCACGAATAAGTTCATCGCAAAATACTGACAAAAAAAAATTTTGGTAGCAAATTAGCCACGAATTTTGTCACGAATACAGTTCGTGGCAAATTAACGAAGAATTTTGCCACGAATATTTAGCGACGAATTTTGTCGCGAATAAAGTTCGTGGCAAATTTGCGACGAATTTTGCGACAAATAAAGTTCGTGGCAATTTTGCGACGAATAATTAGCAACAAATTTTGCAACGAATATAGTTTGTGGCAAATTAGCCACGAATTTTGTCACGAATAATTTGCGACGAATTTTTTTTCGTCGCAATTTAGCGATGGATTTTTTTCCATCGCAAATTCGTTTAGCGACGAATTTTGCCAAATTTTTCGTGGCAAAATTCGTCACTAAAACCAACTTTTTTTGTAGTGGAGGGAAATAGGGAAAAAAGATAGAAAGAATAGAAAATAAGGAAAAGAGAAGAAAAAAATAAAAAGGAAAAAAGAGAAGAAAAAATTAATAAAAATTCGGAAAAATATTTAAAATACCTTGTAGAATTTCTATCTGGACTTTCTTTTCGTTCAGGTTCCTACTGTCATAAAATTATTCTCAAAAGCTTAAGCTAGCTTACAAATACAGCTAAGGTCACACTATGCAACGAAACAGAGATATGGGTCTATCTGCTTTCCTTTATCTCCTGTTCTTATTGGTTCTTGTCCAAGAACTTGTGTAACTTGCTGTCCTCTCGACTTCCGCATGCTAAGCAAGGCCTTGAAGAGACGTTTGTTTTTGGGACTATAGCTCAATATCAGTTCTCCTATTCCTCTCAACATGGGTAGACATTGAAGTGGATCTTTGGGGTTCCGATGGGTACTGGATGTTCATGTGGGAATATAATCGCAATTCAGAAGAGAATCAGTCATAATGGATCATGTCCTCAAGACATGTCCGCAACAAGAAGAAGAAAAAAACCCTATTAACGAAGCTGCACTGGACTTCATCGCTGCTTACTCGTCTTTTCGCATCATAAGGGTTTGTAGATGTAGATCTATCGACAAGAGAATCCGAATGTGCGAGTTGTGAAATGGGAAGGTGGATCTTTTTCTCGTTAGAAAGTGAAGTTGGCATTAGGAACTTTTCCGACTACACGACGTATAATACACTTGCAGGGTATGAAAACATGACGTAAAGGCTATGTATGGCAAAATGGAGCATTCAAGTCAAAAGTGTGCTGAGCTGCTTTTTTGTTGGATGAAGTTATTGCAAATGATAAGGTACCGGTTGCGGAGGATTGTGGAAACTCTGTTGCGGAGTGCCGTCTCCTGCATCAAAGTTCCTGTGTCAGCGTCGTCTCTTAAAAATTCGATGATTAGCACGGGCTTTATGAAAAATTACCTGACAAATGATGCAGAAGTCTCTATGTTTTTTGGATGTCTTAAGAAAAAAAGGGTACTAGTACGTCAGTAGTAGCAATTGAAGTTCTTTTTGATCGAATAAGTTGAACACAAGCAAATGATGAGCAGGATATCAGCTAGTTCTGTAACTCGTGACCTTTCAACGTCTAACAGACCATTCTTGTTCCGTGTAATGTGGATAATGGTAGCTAAATCAGAAAAAAGGGTCATACAATGTTCGCCTATGGACATTTTGCCATTTATGCCACTTGCTAGATTCTTGCCAACTCCATCACCTTTAGCTTTTGAAACTGAGAAAGTTTTTGAGCATGAGCCAACTCCAAATTTTTGGTCCTAATAAATGAAATGATAATTATGTGAAGGGAAGCGTGGCTGGTAAGATATATCGCATGTGGTGCTTCGGGGTTCTTATTGCTAGTGATTGCTAAGAAAGGCCTCCATGGTCTATGAATGTCTTACACGTCAGCGTCTCTAAAACACAGAAACAGTGTTGAAAGTTATATCACTACTTGTGATATATAAGTTGATGCAAGAGAAATGGCAGTTGTCCCTGCCATTTTCCATACTATTGTCGAAGCAAGATATCTTCTGCTATTTAGAATCTCCTTTGCTCTACTAATTAGTTTGTCACGATGTGATATAATCTGGCACATTATGGAGTGTATCTGGAGTAATTTCAGATTTTCAAGAACTTGATTCTTCTTGATCAGTTGCAATATGTTATACCCTGCACATGGTCGATCGGACGGTATGCAAGCCCTTCCCATCCTTGACGCTACAAAACAAGGAAAAGCTAATTATATTGCACACCTGTAGAGCGCAAGAGAATCTGAGCTCAATTGTAAATGCTTCCTCAATCTTGTCATCCAGGAGACAGTTGACCTTATAAGTCATGGAGCCCAAGTGATCCACAGTGTCTATGAAAGCTTTCGTCGCATAATCTTTTAATGTGTTCACCACTCTACAATATTGTCGAGGTGATTTAACAGATGTGCAACAGGAAGAAATGCTCAACCTGGTACACGACGATGGAGTGAAAACCTATTATCTCACAATTGTTTCTGATCAGGTCTGTCGTAAGACAATTCCAAATAGTCAGCTGCCGAGTATAACTGCTTCCTAAGATCCTTCAGGTCCTGATTAGTGAAAAAGGCTACGATTAGCATGCATAACAAATCCGAACCTTTTCGCCCTCATATTTGTTCAGGACGTAGACTAGATCACGAGGAATTTGATAATATAATATGCGAAAAAGGTAGAGGAAAGTAACTTGTTTGTGAACACATACAATTATGAAAGTGGAAAATGGGAACATTAAGGAAAATTACATCAAATTTTAAGGTAAACCAGAAAAGTATAGCGGTAGTTTTGTACTGAAGAGAACTCCAGGTGTATTATGAAGTACCTTCAGGCTATCTAAAAAGTTCAAGCTCTGTTTCGTGGAGAGCTCATCATAATTGGAAGCTTCCTGAGGAGCAGAAACTGAAGAAGGCAACTGGGAAGCATCCATCATACTGAAGTTTAAGAGTATCTTCACCTGTTACAACGAAGACGAAGCAATCAGATCCAAATTCACACCCTCGTGCATTGACTGTCATTATCCATTTCCAAGACACCGTCTCGGCCTAGTTCTAATTTTCATTGTAACAAAGAAAATATTTTCCGTCTCTATTCTCTTTCACCGGCCTGCCAAATTATGAAGACGTACTTTCTTCTTTTTGTTGTTCGTCCCATATTCTTATCTCACCATTTCCTTCCCACAAAGCTGAGGCTATAATCCTGGAGATGTTTATTTTGCAAAACTCAGAGCTCTTCATGTGCTGATGACAACAGTTATTGCCAACGCTAGCAAACTTTTCTGCTTGTTTTGTCAATTCACTGATCACGTAGAGCATTGCCAAACAGCAAGTCCAAAAAAAAAGGGAGAAAAAAACAAGAGAAAGAATCTCCGTAGGAGAGCAAAGAGCACATGCAATCATATGAATTTGGATCACTCCAGACTCTACGAAACTGCAAACCCCGGATTCTTCGATTCTGCTCAGTCTTGAGAGCTTTATGCAGCAAAGGCAGAAAGCAAAATCACATGTTCACGGGGCTCAATCTGGAGTTTACGAAAAAAATAAGGGGAAAAGAAATTTCTGAACTGATGCTGGAGCGGATATCATCTTTTCGACTTAATTAGTCAATCGAGAATAGAAATCCTGGTAGAGAAAGCCAAAATGTTCTCATAATATTTACCTCCTCGATTTATATCGCAAGTTCTGGGTCGCAGGAGAAGAGCAACATTTGCCGCGTGTCGCTAATTGGCATACAATCATATGCTCTCTGACTACGTCCAGAAATTTAATCGCTGCTGTTGCTCAAAGGGAAAGAGTAATGTAAGCACACACGAAAGAATCTCTTAAGTATATCTCGCAGCCTCACATGTAGGAGACGGAGATACTGATGAAAACAAAAAAATGTAGGAGACGGGGGCGTGCAAAATGCACTGTCGTATTTCAGAGTTATGTTACCCCCAGTTTCTACTACGTGCGCATTTCGTCGAACATCTGACCAGCAACATAGAAATGATCGGATCATCTCTCCTCTCCTCTCCTCTCCAATGCAGCTGCTTTCACGATGACGCCTTCCAACACCACCACCGATTGGACCCTCATATCTTCACGGATGCGCCTCCCCCCCCCCGTCCAGCGTCTTTCGGAGAAGCGTTGAATTGAATTCGCTCCCCACCTCCCTCACGGGGGGGACTTTGCAAATCTTCCACGAGCAGAAGTCGCGAGTTCATCTCGACAGCGAGCGAAAAGACAGAGGTTACCCCCTCCCCAACTGATTGAAAGTCCACCAGGATGAGAGAAGAGGGACAAAATGAAACGAACGATGATTTATGATAGGACGAAGAAGACGATGGGGAAATTTATCTAGGGATTGCCATAATAAATAGCCTATTCTCACTCATAAAAATATATTGAATTAGATATTTTTACTCTTATCAATTTTATAAAGCATTTGCCATATTACTAATCAAATTTTCCATTTTCCACATCTGCTATTATCTTAAGGGGGGCCCACCCTCTGACAACACAACCTATCCAACACATCACTGGAGGAATGTATGCTTCCGAGATTCGCGAGCGATGACTTCGGAACAGTCATATGTGGAGACTCCTTGAGGTACCGCCTTCAATTTGGGACAAAGGAAGATCCCTAATCGAGAAAGATGAGGCATGGCTCCTTCAGCCACCCTCCACCCCTCCAAATGTGGCAGATTATAAAGATCTAAGTGCTTGAGTTGAGGAAAGCCTCTTGCTGAGCAAACCATTTTCTTTCCCACAAAAGCCCGATGCCCCAGTGCGAGAACAACCAAGTGCTGCAATTTCTCCAATATTGGTATTGGATCTTCTTCGAGTTCGGAGTAGAGCAAGACCAGCTTCCTCAGTTGCTCGGTTAGTTTCTTATGTTCCGGCAACTTCCTTATAATTCCTCTTATGTACAGTTTGCAGGAATGGGGATAGCTTGACATTTTACTCAATTCACCTTCAGTGATTGAAAAAAGATTTGAGAATCTAAAAGATAATGATCGAAGATGATTCAAAGTGAATTTAGCAAGTTGGGGAATTTTCTCCATATGAAAATCATTCTTGGAGGAGACGGTCAGTTTTTGCATATTGGTGAGTTTGCTTACATCGTTTACATCACAGATCCTCGTAGAAAAGTTTCTCAATGTCCATAAATTCTTTAAAGAGTCCAATCGTAACTCTCCCATTCCCATAGAATTTCTTATTGACGGAAAAATAAAAGGGAAGATAGAGATGCCTCAACCTTCTCAGCTTCCACAACATATTTGACACGGTTACTGGAAATGATCCATTTACAGGCAAGTCCAAGGACTCCATACATACAAGGTTCCCCATAGATTGCGGCAAGCCCGTGAACCTACTTCCTGCTAAACTTAAGAATCTTAAATGGACTAGGTCTCCCAATGATTCAGGTAAATTTCCGTTCATATCACGACTCTCTAACTTTAGAACTCTGAGAAACTTACAATTGATGAATATAAGTGGAAATTGCTTCCGCTCCTCTCGGACAGATTCGAAGAACATGAAAGTGCGAAGGTGGAGCATAGTCCTTCCTATTGGCTTTACGCTGGGAAAGTTGTTTCCTTCAGCACTCATGCGCATATTGAGAGAAAGCCTTCGTATTTTGCAAGTCGCCATTGAAGAAGAACAATCATCCGTCTCATTGGCCAGTTTAATGTCATGAATTCTAAGAAAACTCTCTTGCGTAGCCTTGGAGACACATAAGTCTCGCATCAGGTCGTGGAGGTGACAAGTTATGATCTTTCCACTCAATTTGAATCGTGCTTGAACCATTCCCCTGATAACCAACTCCATTAAATATTGCTCTGCTATGCCTTCCACTGAACTTTCTCTCTCTTCGTCATATGCATTGGGTGACACAAAGCCTTCAACAATCCACATGTGAAGAACTTCCATTGCAGGGATTTCTGCATCCTCCGGAAAGCAACCCAAATAGAGGAAGCATGGCTTTAGATGCCATGGCAAATCGTCATAGCCTAAGGCCAACACTTTTGATACATCACTCTTATTGGTAAAATGTAAATTGATGTTTCTGTAAACCGTCTCCCACTCGTTGACCGCCAAAAGCCCACCAAGCACGATGATAGCCAAGGGTAATCCTCAACACTTCTTAAGGAGTTCATATCCTAACCTCTTCATGTTTTCAGTGATTTTTGTACAATATCAGGCAACAATTTGCAACTATAATAAGAAGATAACTTCAAGGACAAATATCTACCTTTTGATATATGAATAAGATGCCATAGTTCTTTATAACTTGTGGTTCAATTATGCTTTCATAAGGGGAAAGACTATGGGGACCACAGCAAGGTTCCTATATATGCCGCCACCAACACTTGGGAGATCAAGAACCCTACATTAACAAATGGAACGTATTGTCTTTGCTATTTCCGGTTGGAATGAAGTGGTTCGAGCAAATGTATATAAACAATAATCCTACTAGATGAGGAAAAAGGAAAGCTGCAGGGATAACTTGAGGGTCCTACTTATCTACTCTGACTTGAGTGTGCTAGTAATCTCCACTGCAGCGGAAATTACAGCGAAATCTTTATGTTAGCGCTCTCTTTTGTTGCATAACGATTTTCTTAATAGTCCCCACTCTAATTGTTGGACTAGCTATTCACAAATACAAAAATGGGTGGACCTGAGATGAGGCTTGTGGACGAAGGAACAGAGCTAGACTCCCCATTATTTCATGAATTCCTATCAAAATAGCTTATCATGTTGGCCATATAAAAGCCTCTTTGATATTTCTCCTCATTGGTTGAAAGGAGGAGCAAATTTTTGGATGTTTGGAGGTACAATCGCTAGCCATTAAGTAACAAAAGGGGCATCTCATTTCCCAAATATCAACATTTTGATGCCGAATACTACGTATATCGATTATTCGAGCTCGATAGTAACCCTCGATTCATAAATTTTTTTTAAACCTTTTAAAAGGCAGACTGAACAATGAAGTACCTTGTATTTGTCCCTTTGTCTCTGACTATAAAAATCTCATGAACCAATTAATCTCCTAAAGCTATTATATGTTAGGATGATAACCTTAAAGAAGCCTTACCTTTCGTTTAAGGAAAATGCCCCCTTAGTCAGCAGCTCCCAACTCTCCCGGTTCGATAAGCAGTTAGGTTCATGGAAAAAACCTTGAGGGGATTGATATACTTTGCTATTTCTCTATTGCGAGTCGTTATCAATGGCTTGCTTCTCGTGTCCTCGAATGGGAATGCGGCTCAAAGACTGTCCCATGCCTCTTTGGTCCAAATATCGTCAAGAACCACGATACATCTCTTCTCTTGTTGGATCTTATAAAGAGTTTCGAACAATTCGTCATTTATCATCTCCATAACATCCTTTCTTCGATCAGGGATCAACTTCACAAGAATTCGCACCAAGCTATCCTTCACATGGTATTCTTGAGATTCACAAACCCAAGCAAAACCATCGAAATTGTTCTTCACTTCATCACAAGCAAAGACTTTCTTAGCGAGTGTGGTCTTACCCAAACCACTCATTCCACATATAGAAATAACTCTGCGTTATTTTCCATCCTTCAACAGCTCTTTCACCAACTCCTCAATATTATCTTCCCTCCCAACAAAGTCCTCCACGAAATGAGCATAAGTCCGTTTTGGCGTCGAAGTTCTCACGTGTATGTGTTTGCTCTCATTCACAGATTGTATGCCATAATTCTGCATCTGCCTTCCAAGATAGGAAATTCTGGATTTTAAGCCCTCAATCTCTGTCCCCACCACATGAACCTGCACGCACGTGCACTTCGCCACGAAGCAAGCACAAGCTTTGATGATGTTTCGTTCCTTCTTCCGTGCGACTCTGAGGATGTATCGCTCGATGACGTCCTCAGCATCATAGACAATGTCTCGAAGTTGCACGACCCATTCTCCAACAGCTTGGTCGTGCTCTCGTTTCACGTCCGCATCCCTCAGCAAGCACTTGATCAGCTTCAGCTCCTCTTGCAGGTCCTTGACCTTGCCCTCCACGCCCCACAAG